CCGGACATGTCCGGCTTTTGGGGATTTCCCCCTGGACGGGGATTTGAGTCCCGAAAAGCCGGACGTGTCCGGGAAAATCCGGACGTATGGTAACCCTAAGCTATTCCATACCCCATATCATTTCTGTTGCCCTTCTCTGTACCTTTACCAATTCCAATATATATTTTTTGAGATGGGGCGACCACATCTGCACGCAGTATTCAAGATGTGGGCGTACCATGGATTTATGGAGCGACAATATGATATTTTCTGTCTTATTATGTATCCCATTTGTAATGGTTCCTAACATTCTGTTTGCTTTTTTGACTGCTGCTGCACACGGAGCAGGTTATTTCCAGAGAACTATCCACAGTGACTCCAAGTTCCCCTTCTTGCTGGGTAACAGCTGATTGAGACCCCATCATTTTGTCTGTATCGGTGGGATTATATTTTGCCATGTGCATCACTTTGCATTTATCAACACTGAATTTCATCTGCCATTTTCTCGCCCAGTTTTGTGAGGTCCCTTGTGTAACTCTTGTCCCTCAGCTTTGGACGGAACTAGCTTGAGTAATTTTGTATCATCTGCAAATGTTGCCACCTCCCTTTTCCCAGCTCACTTATGACTGGGTTGAACAGCGCCTGCCCCAGTACAGACCCCTGGGGACAGAACCACCCTGTGAAACTCAAGGGGGCTCTGCCCCCCGGTGCCCCTAAGCCGGCGATAAGCCCCCAGGCAGCGGCAGCCCGGGCCCAGGGTGACCAGACAGCAAGTGTGAGAACTCGCCACAGGGGCTGGGGGGTAATAGGAGCCGATTCAAGAAAAAGACCCAAAAATCGGGACTGTCCCTAGGACATCCTACCCAGGCCACCCCCACGTCCACCCCCGGCAAGCGTGGGCTCTTCCTATTGGTCTAGGTGGGCCGAGGCTGTAGCCCTCTGGTGCGCTGATTGGCCGCCTGTTACAGACACGTGGCCCTCTCTTCTCCCGCCACAACAACATTGCCCCTTTCAGCAGAGGGGCAGGACTCGTGCCCTCCCATTGGCTCCGGGCCTCCTCACTCTCTGCTCTGTCCCACCCCCACAGAGCTGCGCGTCCCAGTGATTGGTTTGTCGCCGCTACCCGCTCTATTCCCCTAGTCAGCGCGAGTTTCTTCCGGGTTGGGGAGGCGGGTGGCAGGCAGTGGTTGGCTGGTCAGCGCTGTCTGTCACTTCCCCCTGGCGCAGCGATTGGCGAGCGGAGCCCTGGGGGTGGGGCTGAGCGTGCCTCGGTCGCTCCGGCCGTAGGGCTGTGTTAAAGGAGCCGTAGCGCCGTTTTCTGCCGCCGCTGCCCCGGACCCGGCTGCCCCGGGCGGCGCCATGGCCTATCAGGGCTTCGCGCAGGAGTACCTGGGGATCCCGGCCGTGACGCGGGCCTACACCACCGCCTGCGTCCTCACCACCGCCGCCGTGGTAAGGGGGGCCGGGGCGGGGTGCGCGGGGCCGGCAGCCCCCGCAGGGCAGTGGCCGCTCCCGGGTCCCCTTGGGCACCAGGACGTGCTGCGGGTCCCAGGCGGCCCGGGGGGGAGGTGAGAGCTCGCGGCGGCCCTGCCCGGCTGTCTCCCTCTCCCCCCGGGGGGCAGAAAGCCGCCCGCCCCTGCCCACGTGCGCGCTGCAGTGTGGACGCGGGCTCCGGGCTCGGACACGTTTCAGGCCTGCGCCCTCAGGACAGGGGTTTGCTGTGCGGGTGCCCTGGGACTGGAGCCCGGGGGCGGTCTAGGGGGGTGATCGCTCGCGCCGCGAGTTCGGGGTCTGGCCAGGGGCGCTGAGGACGAAGCCCAACGCGAGGGTTTAACAGCTCCGTGGCTGTTCACAGTCCCCAGCCTGCCCCGTTTAACGAGCCCGGCCCGACCCTGCAGCAGGCCTGGCCCCTTGGAGTCTCCTTTCCAGTGACCGGTCCTGTGTTTTCTCTGCCAGGCGCACCGGGTGCTGTGGGAAGGACTGGGGGGTGATTTGGGCTGAGGCTGGTCCCTGTTCATTGTGCTCCTCTCCTCAGTGCTAGGGAGGGAGGCAGACTGTGTGCCCGGGAGCTGGACATTTGGTTTGTGGGTTTGCCTGCTCCTTGTTTCCTCTCTGTGGCCGGGATCCTTCAAAAAATGAAAGAGCAACAAGAATTTCAGCTTTTTTTTCTAGAGCTTATTCCCTAGTGTGAGGCTAAATTCTGCTAATAGTGGGATTGGTGGGCTTGCATTCTGGCTCTCAGCACTTGCATAATTTGCTCTAATTTTCTCTAAAGCACACACTCTCTTTCTTTCCCACCATCAGCTGGCAGTGAAATAAGTTTGACCCTCAGACAGGGTGCAAGATCTGTAATGCTCTCTGAGGCCAGACTCTTCTAGGAGTAGATGCTTCAGTAGTCATGTGTGCAGCTCACCATGTCTTCCCTGAACCATCCTTGCAAATGACCACCTCTTACCTTGCTGGGTAGGGGTTGGAATGAGCCGTATTGTCAGAGGTTGCATTTAATGTCCTCCATGGGATGGCAGGTAGGATGTGTTTGTGAGGACTGATGTTTTTGCCCCCTTACACACTACAAGTTAGACAAATACCTGTCAGGGCTGGTCTAGATAATACTTAGTCCTGCCATGAGTACAGGGAACTGGACTAGATGACCTCACAAGGTCCCTTCCAGTTCTACGATTCTATACACGGACATATAGTGTTCACCCAAAATCAGAAGACCAAATGCTACCTGCTTGAATAAAGAGCATCAGAGGATGATAACAAGGGGCTCAGAAAGCAACAGATACAAGTCTAGCAGCATGCACAGCAAAAAAACAAAAGAGAATGACTGCTCCATTTATGCAGCAAGTGGCTCATTCCCCACTGAAAACACTTCCTACATTTCCACTCCCCCAGTGACAGGGTTCTTTCTGTCTCCAGCAAACTCCGCCTTTGCTCCAAATTGCTTGCACAAAGATCCTTCCATTGAAACAGATTCTGACCATTCCACCTGCATTTGTCTGCTGATTCTTTCCCTTGTTCCTCTGCTGCTTTGTGTCTGTCCTGGCCCCATTCCTCTTTCCCTCAAGCTTCCTGCTTCCAACCTTGCCTGATGTTATATGCCCACTTTCTTCCCTTCTATCCTCCCAAAAATAAAAAATTACCTTGGTTTGTCAACCATCGTTATTACATAACAACCCTGAGTAGCTGCGTGACCTAACCGCTGTGTCCTTTGTCCTCCTCATCCCTCACTGCATCACTTGATGCTCTCACTCATGGCATCGTGTGTAAAATTAAGTGGCAGGTTTCTTGGTGCAAAGTCTGGCATACTCTGGGTGCTGTATAAACAACACTAAGTGCAGCATGACCTGCTTCTCCTGTCTCACTCCAGGGTTAAATGATCGCTCTCTTGGTTTCTTGCAGCAATTAGAATTCATCACCCCTTTCCAGCTGTATTTCAACCCAGATCTGATTTTCAGAAAGTTCCAGGTGAGATTCTTTTCTTATAAGGGGTTAATTTTCCACTGAGTCCTTCACTCTCTTCCTAGCCTGATAATCCAGAGATTCCATGAGCTGGAGGTGGAGCCAGCAGGCCAGCCCAACTTCCCTATTTTCCTTATCACAAGGAGCCCTACTAGGCCTGGAGGAGCTTCTTTATTCCAGATACTCTCTTGTGCTCTGTCTGGTGGTGAAAGTGGCCGCTGGGCCTTGTGGGACTTTTTCCCACTAGCAGAAGCTGTGGAGGCGTGGCTATAGTCAGACAGGAGTGTTTTCCCCACCCTTCTCTGCCCCATGCCACAGTGGGTTCTTTAGGTCCTTTTCCTGTTTTACTCAGATCCTACTAAGACTGTCACTCCAGTCCCCTTTCAAGAAGAATTGTGGGTGAAATTTATGACCATCTAGTCTCTTGGGGCTGGATGGGGGAAGCTCTCCCTTAGAAAGGAGTCTTGCCTTGGGTGATGGGATCATAAGTTGTGTCTTCCCTTGGGGAAGGTGTGGAAATATCACTCACCAAGGAGGAAAGACTGTCTGGTTCTGAGAGGGTAGATGGAATCCACAGGAGGTGGGTCATACCAGCATCTGGTTTTGTGGGGGTGATTACCTAGCACGGTAAATGGCTGTATGGAGGCACCCAGGTGTGGGGGGCCTTCCAAATTGGGGAAGAGATATGGCTGTCCATCTCGTTCTTCTCCTGTCTCTTCTCTTGCAGATCTGGAGGCTGATCACCAACTTCCTCTTTTTTGGGCCCTTGGGATTCAGTTTCTTTTTCAACATGATATTTTTGTATCCTTTGGTCTCATCCGCACTTTCTGCTCCCTTTTAGTTTTAAATATGACTCTCCACTTGCCCACCTTCCTGATCTAGTTGGCTTGTCTCATCAGCAGGGCTGGGCTGTAGAGTTCCCCTTCCTCAAGTCTCCACCAGGCTGAACTGAAAAGTCAGTTCCCAGACAGGGTCACTCCAGAGCCTGTTGGTGTCTTGGGATGGGAGATGGCCAAGCTCACTGCTGAAGAGATCCAGCTAGCCCATCACTCTTTCACTCTGCCACCCAAAGTACCTGTCTGGCTGGGGCAGCCCCCGTTGAGGAGTGCCTAGTGTGGTATCAGTGAGACAGGCAATGTTAGCTGCCACCAGAGACTACAGAGCTATACCAGCTCCTGTAACTGTGCTGTCCATTGCCAGTGCAGTGTGGTTTCTGCAGCCATGCTGGACAGAGGTGACTTGCTCTTTCCCTGAGTCTGGTAACACAAGACGAATCTCACTGCTCTGGCTCGGGGACTTGGGCAGCTGGCTGGCAGCTTCCTCTAATGAAACCTCTTGTGGGAGCTTTTCGGCAAACCCCTGTGGCTCAGCCAGTGATGCAGGGCAGCCAGCTGTTAAGTTTCCTATACTGCAAACCCTCTCGTTTCCTGCTCTCAGGTACAGATATTGCCGAATGCTAGAGGAAGGTTCCTTTCGGGGAAGGACTGCAGACTTTGTCTTCATGTTTCTCTTCGGGGGATTTCTCATGACAGTATCCTTTGTTTGAGTTGGTCATGGCCCTCTGGGCTGCTGTCCTAGGATACTCTGTGAATAGGCTGCTAGTCCACTGACGCCTTGTACCAAGGGCCTTCTTAAGCTCTTCTGTATGCCTCTCTATGTTCTGGTTGGCTTTACCATAAAGTAGAACAGGTGGCTGCCTAGAGTGGCAAAACTTGGACTGCAGGATGTGAGGCGCATGTTTCCTAAGGCAGACAAACCCTGGAGCCACCTGGCTGACAGATGCAGTCTCTGCTCCTGGGATGGCTCTTCTCACGTACACCAGCCTCTGTCTGTGCAGGCTCTCAAATAGTGGGCTGGCAACTCCCCAGGCTAATTCCTTTTGTTGTACACTCTGTTCATACTCACCAGGCCCTGAAAGGACTCGTCTAAGATTGATGCTCCAGCTACAAAAAGTTGACTTTTGTGTCTTCCACTGACCACAGGAGCTCTGATGTATCTGGAGGAGTCACATATAATTGGGGGGGGGGGGGGGTGTTGTATAATCATGGATGCAGGAAGCTGTCTGATCAGTAGGCTTAGCCAGAAATGGAGCCATATAGCTCTGCCCAGATTAAGTGAAAACCTTAAGTAACCCTACTGAGCTCTGAGGTTCCTAGTCCCATATCTCTACACTGATCCATGCTGTTATCTCAGGGAAGGGAGGGGAAGTAGGGGTGGTTACTGCACAATAACAGCTCACACCGGAATGTGGTTAATTTAGAGAAAACCAGCAGCCATTAAAACCTTTAGCTCCACGCCCCCAGAGTGTGTGGGACTGGCAAAGGAGCTGCACGGATGTAGCTGAAGACAGGTTGGCCCTGAATCTTTAGCAGATTGTGTAGCATAAGGCTCTGCACTGTGGTGTTCTAGCTCATGGGCATGACCAGGGCTACTTCTGATTTTTGTACCTAGTGTGAACATTGTTTTACGCTTTGGAACCATTTTAAAGTAAGAGAAACATGTCTGGGAAGGACGACCAACTCCCTCTGCAGACAAGCCGCTGCCATCTGTTGCAAGGTGCACTCAGAGAAGGGTGTTAAACGCGTGTCCAGATGGAAAGGAGCAGTATCAGAAGATGTGCTTTCCCTAACGCTGTGTGTATTTTCATATGCAAATGCTGAGCAGACTCCGACATCCTGGTGCATGTCTGTAAGTGCTTAGCTAGGCAAATGCTAATGCATCTGTGGTGTCCACGCTCTTGACCTGCCAAGACTGTGTCAGAGCCCGTGAGCACAGCAGAGAAAATGATTGTGAAGCAGTCTCACCTCTGCAAACCTGCAGCTAGGCCTTAGGACCATTGGCATGTTAGAAACAACCCACTCATCTCCCTTAGGGAAAGCTCTAATTGAGAAGAGGTTATGGTTTATCTTTGACAGAACTCTCTTGCAGAGGACAAGTGTGATCGGCTTGGATGCTGATAAATGTTAGGTCCACCTCTTGTGCTCAAAACATGAAACTTAACTTTAAGAAGTTGGTTGGCGCCTAACCGTTGTAATGAGATACAGAATCTCTCTCTCTAGAGTAGCCATTCAGACCTAGCCCAGGGTAGTAGTTATAATCCTCTGGTGGTGGTTCAGAGCCCTGTTGAAGACGAGTTTCCTCTCAGTCCAGATCCCACCGCACCAGTGTCCATGTAATGAAAACCACCATGTCACACTAACTGGCACCCTCAGCAAAGAGCAAGGAAGGGTTTGACATGGATACTGATCTCCTACCCCTCACAGCCTTGGAAGGCAGCTTGGTCTTGTGGGTAGGGCATGGTACACGGAGTGGGTGGAGATGGCTTCTATTTCGGGATCTAGCACTGACCCACTGGGACTCTAGGCAAGCTGACCTCTCTCTGCTAGCTTCCCCATTGGGGGAAAGCAGGATAATTCTACTTACCCACCTTGGAAAGTGCTTGGAGCTCTTTTGCTGAAGTATTGAATCATGGTGATATTAGAACCACTCCCTTCAGAGCAATGGTGAGGGGCTAATGAACAGCCCTGCTGCTGCCTGTAAGGATTTCATAGAGGGCTTGGGGCTCCCTGCTGTCAGTCAAGCTGCTTCCACTAACACTAAGTTCATGCTCTGCAGATTTACAGGAGAGAATTTACAAAATAGGGTTCTCCTGTGAGCTGAGCAGGTTGGACACTTACCGTAGCAGCAATAAACATCAGCTTGGACATTGCTCCTGAAGAGCCAGGTGGTTTTCCAAGGGAATAACAGCGGTTTGTGCTATGCCTGCCCTAGGGTGGAAAACGCTCTTCCTCAGCAGAACGGCATGCTGACTAATTCCCGTTGCAGGCACTGTTACGGAGGGGTGAGTATGGGGGGCTGTCCCCATGCACAGGAGAGGGATGAACTTCTGCAGGATATAGCTGGTGACTTGTCCACTCATTTTGGTATCCATGACAGGCCCTGCTCACAGATTCATACGAGACCTAGGTCCAAAGGGACCTCTCATGTCCAATTCCTCATCTTGCACAGAGGTTTTCGGCTATACTAACATCCCTGGAAGCTTAACGCCTAGTGATGAAGCCTCAGGCTGTTTCATGTCTCTTCCCGGCTATGGAACACTTCTCTGAGTTCGTTACAGAAAAATGATGTCCAGTGTAGGGGATATTGTCCTCTGCTGCAGGGGAGGTCAGTGTCCTGGGAAAGGGAAGGGGTGTGTGCGCTGCAGAAGTGAGGGTGCGCAGCCCCTGCTTGCCACGAGCCCACACCAGGCAGCACAGAGTAGCTGAGGTGTAAATGACACTGATCCAATGCATGGTTTGCTACTGGGGGAAGATGAGGTAGGCCTGGGCAGAGGGATTGGTGTGTACAATCACTTACGTAGTTGACTCCAGTACACGGAAATCCTAGGCAGCTGCCCAAGTATCTATCTAATCTGTCAGAACTTCCGGTATTTGTCAGGGGCTTATGAGATTGTCGCATCTTCTGTCCTGCTGCTCTGGTCTGTAGCCTAAGCAGAACGTGCTGTTCTCCTTGACTCTGTAGCTCTCAGCTCTTCGGCCTCTTTGCCAGCCTCTTCTTCCTGGGCCAGGCTTTCACCATCATGCTGGTGTACGTGTGGAGCCGCAGGAATCCTTACATCCGCATGAACTTCTTTGGGCTTCTTAACTTCCAGGCCCCCTTCCTGCCCTGGGTTCTGATGGGATTCTCTCTGCTGCTGGGCAATTCCATCATCATTGATTTGTTGGGTAAGAGGACACTGGGTGCCCGGAGGAAGGGTGGCTTCTGTGTGCGTACAGCTCTCCCAGCTGTGACCCCAGTGGTTTACATCCCGTGGCCTGGGTTCACCCGTGGTAGTGGCATGCCCTTTCTCAGAGGAGTACAGCTGGCCTAGTCTGATTGCCAGACACACAAGTTCAGTCTCGCTGTTTAACTAAGTGCACTTTGTATAGCACCTGTGTGGTGTGCCCATGAGGCACCAACAACTAGCCTGGACGGTGCCATCTATGAATGCCCCAGCTGGCTCTTCAGTAATGGGGATGGGGAGAAAATGAGCTCTAAGCTGACACTCATGCCCCATTCCTTCTGCCCTCCCAGTTCATAGCCCAAGAGTTCTCTGCAGCCATGGCCCTTGCTAAAGGTGACCCCCCCCCCCAACCACACACACAGTAGTGACTCATGCAGGGCTCTCCCAACTGGGTATGCAGAGGCAATGCAGCTGTCTCCTGGGACAGCTGCTTACAGGTAGATTTTCTCCTGTCTCAGAACTTCAGTGAGCAGCTAGCTAGCTGTCCCCCACCCCACCCCCCGGGAAGAGGCATGTCTGAGGGTAACACGTCTGCCTTCACCTTCTCTACAGGAATTGCAGTGGGTCACATTTATTACTTCCTTGAAGATGTTTTTCCCAACCAGCCCGGAGGGAAGAAGTTGCTGCTCACTCCAGGCTTCCTGTAAGTGAAATTCTAGTCGTCTTTCCTGGGTCCAGTGTATCATCACCACTTCCAAGGGTTTTCTTCATAACAAAATAGCTAACCTGCCTCGGTGCTGGGAAACACCCTCAGCCTCACTCGGGCTAGTTAATAGCCAGCCTGTGCAAACGCTGACAGCTGTCCACATGCCTCAAACTACTGTCCTAACTGGCTATCTGTACATGCTCTGACTCAGGCCCCCTTGTTACTGGGAGTCAGGTTTCCTATGGAAGGAAGTGGCCCTTGTTGGACACTTGAGCAATAAGGTATCACGGCACGAGGGCAGCTCCAGGCTTGAGAACTTAAGTACAGTGCACAGGTAACTGGATCAAGTCAGGGGGGAGGGCAGCCAGCAATGCAGTTGCTGTTTCCCTGACTCCGCGGAGAACTAGGCACTATGGAAGCCCCCCTGGTGCAGTACATGTGGCTGTCCCTGAGAATGGGTTGGGTTCCTAGGAGGGATGGGGGTGGCTTTCATCCCTCTCGCACCTTATTCTTACTGTTCACTTCTTTTGGGGTGGGCCTGTTCCCTGCCAGGAAGCTGGTATTTGACACTCCTGAAGAGGATCCCAACTACAACCCCCTTCCTGAGGATCAGTCAGCGAACCAGCCAGCTGCTGACCAAGACCAGAACCAGCAACCGCCACCTCAGTAGGGGGGGGAGAACCTGCTCTCCCCCACGTGACCGAACTTTTCTCCTGTCTGCTGGACTGATACTGTGCCATGGACAGATGCTGTCTGAAGAACAGCTCCGGTCACTAGATTAGTCTGTATTAACATCTCACTTATCCCTGGGGATAACCTATTTCCCAAGTTGTTCTCTGGAGTGTCATTTAAAAACTGAATGGAGTGATGTAGAGGGGGGTGTACAGAAGTGGTGTAGGGATGGGGTGGAGGCTGGCCCCTGGCTACAGTAAATCCCACAGCACCCTGGGCCTCAAACGTTCTTCCTCGTCTAGTTCTGCTACAGCTATGCTGTGTGCCAAGTCACCTGTCTCCTCGGTACACCCACTGGTACACCCTCCTTCCCACAAGGCTCCAGTTGTTGCTTGTGCCATGGAAGTGCTTGATGCTCTAGGTCTCACTCAGCTGTAGTAATGTGTACACCCCACCCCCAGGACTGGAGAATGGCTCATTGCCTTGGTTCTGCTCCTTCCCCTTCCATTCTCCCAGCTTCTTTACATTAAAATTTATATTTTTCAAAGGTGTAGCTGTGCCTGGTAGGGCAAGAGGCACCTAGGGCTGTTATACAGAACAGTTTTACTTAGGCCCTGGCCCTCAGCAAGGGCTTTGTTCCTAGGTGCAAGTTATTTCAAATTCTGCTCAAACCAAGGGAAGACATAGACTAGTGCACTTGCCCAACGAGGGAAGAGCCCCACTGCCAGGACAGACGGGAGCTTGAGGGCTGCATGGAAAGGAAACAAGCAGCGCAGGTGCCAGACAAGCTGAGGGAGACGCAGGATATTTAAAGACAGCAGCAAGGCCCTCTTAACGCAACGGTCACAGGTTTGTTCCAGGACCTGCCTAAAGGCTCAGAGCTGAAAGTCTTCCAGTCTCCTCTAGTCATGGTACAGTGACTCATGTTAAATTACTAAATTTAATCATGACAAAGTTTGCCCCTGTACAGCCAAGCAATAAGTTTTAGGCCTTATCTACAGCCACCAAGTTGCATTGCTTTAAAAGCCCACTGCGTTACACCAGTGCCAATGCTTGTGAATTACATCTGAAAGCTAAACAAGTTTCACCTACTAAAGCTCCCCACTGAGTTGAACCAGTTAACAAGGCTGAATAGTGTGTGTGTGTGTGTGTCTGGACCAGGCCTAAGTGTTTCTTTCAAAGCACAAAGTTTGTATTATGCAGCCAGCTTTGGGGGGCTGGCATGTGTCATAGTGCTTTGCAAGCCTCTAACCAACCAGTGCCACAGGAATCAAACGGTAACTAGTATTGAGTTAGCTGAAGCAAAATGGTGCAGGAGCCTTAAGGCAAAGGAAACTCAGCCCCCAGCCCATCACTTAATTCTCTGCTGTTTATGTCAAGTGCTGCTACCAGAGGAGAGGCTGAAGCAGGTCTTAGATTTTTCAGGCGGTAGTACTATTGTAATCAAGCTCCATTCAAGGGGGGGGATGTGGGGGGGCCACAAGGAGATTTACTCATAGTCACTGATATTCTAAGCTTAGCTGTGTATAAATGCAGCTTTTGGCTGTGGGACTTCTCCTCCCCCCCGTGTTGGAATAACCTGTTGCCGAAAGGTAAGCAGCAAAGACTAGGCCGGGGACAGACAGTTGGTCAGTGTAAGGGTTAAGGCTGCAGTGATAAAAGCTGCTGAGTTTGCAAGTTCATGGCTTCTGCAAACTCCCTGCCAGCTGAATTTTTATTCTTCCCTCCCCCCAGACACAGAAACCGGTTCGCTTTCAAACAGCTATGAACTGGGGCTGCCATGGTGCAAGATGAAGCATAATCCTGCTAAAAGGAGATTTCTGACAATGCTAGAAGCGGGGGTGGACTACGCTGGAATAGATTTTTACAGCTTTCTTTAGCACAAGGACCATGACACCAGTGTCCGGTTGTCAGTGTAATCTGCGCTGCTTGCAACATTTTCTCTTGGTTTTCCTGGAGGAGGAGGAGTGCAAGCTCCAGCAAAGCGCCAACAAGCCAGCAGCTTGGCTTTGATTCTATTTAAAAAAAATAAAAATAAAAAGCTGACAATTTGTATCTTGTTTAAAACAGCCGAATTAAACTCCTCCTGGGAAAGAGCAGGTCTCTGCATTCTCACCAGCTTTATGGAATCCTGGCCCCAAAGCGTTAACAGCATGTGCTAAGACAGCTTTATTCCCAGTGAGCTTAGTTCATTCATTAGCTGCAAGGGAGGAACCGACTGCACATGATCATGCACAGTGGCTATAGGGGCAGCTTTTTACTGAAGGAAAGATGCAATTTCAGCAACTAGAAGTCAGATAACTGAAATGCAGAGTCTAGTCTTACCACCGGTTCTGGGAGTTTTGAGGTATTCTCCCCAACTTTGGCTTCCAACCAACACACTGTGACACTAGACAGAGATGAACTTCAAAGCCTAACTGAAGCCATGGACTATACCATGCTCACCAAGCTCCATTCACTGAGACATAATTACAGACAGACAGGGCTGGTTCTGATCGCACTGAGTGCACTAAACAAATAGCTCCTTCATGATCTTCACCATTCCCACCCTACTGAGTCACAAAGCCCAGTCCCCTGGTAAAAGGCAAGACCTGAGCAGGATTCCCTTTGAAGCCTATTAGATCTATTCCACATGAGCAGCTAGAGGACAGGACTCCCTACCAGGTGTGAACATCCAGCTCTTGCTGACCTGGGGAGCAAGAGCAGGGCTGGAAACAGCCTATGCAGCTCCAACAACTCCAGCGTTAGGCCACTGGAAGGATCATCAGGAGCCCAAGCAATGGGAGCTGGACGCCCATGCATGTAAGTTACTGATTCAAACCAACCATTATGCATTCCTTTTATTTCAAAAGTTGTCTTAACAGTGCACCTTGCACCTATACCAAAAAAACAAAACAAAAAAACCTTTACTCAGTCCACACACAGGTACATGAGGGCTCTGACAGCTGCCACAGGTCTCTGATGGATAACGTGCGAATGCAACATTCTCGGCACATGGCATTTAGGTGGGGGCAGGGGCGGGAGTCAGCAGTACTCTGAACTGCTTGGCAAGCGGAATGTGTGTCCTCGTTCTGGGCCAAAAAGATTCAAGACAAACCCCTGCCAATCCTAGGTCCTTTTGGGGGAGAGGAGTGGAGACAGAGTCCGTAGGATGAGCACCACTGGCATGTCAGGGAGGGTTACCAGGCTGGAGCAGTGTTGGCCAAACGTCTCATGCGCCTGTAGGAAGCGAGGGAGAAAAAGGCACAGTAAGTGATGGGGAAATGATGCGTTAGTAGAGCTGCCTGGAATCGCACCACAGCCCTCACAGGCTATTGCACAGCCTTCGGGGCTGCTAGACAAACTTACTAGTTAACACCCTCGCCTGGTTGTACTAATGACTTGAACCACATTGTTATCTGCACAGTTCCTGAAGTGTGTATGGCATTTCTGCCACTGCTGAGAAACCGGGTTACTCGTTTCCATGTGTTTTTAGCCTAAATTGTGTTTCAACATCCATCAGCCATTGACAGCTCAGCTTTACTGCGAGAGCTTACAGCTACTGGGTATCAGAATGTCTCAGTCTTATCAAACTGAGTATTAAATAACTGGGAGATGGTTTATCAGATACCAATGGCAGGGTCTCCATAGCTCTGAGCAACCCATGGGCGTTGCTTGAATCTCTCAATTTTATGACCTACAGTGTCTTGGGGAGATAAACCAGGCTGATTTCACTTCACATCCAGGCAGGTTTGAACAGCCTAAGCTGCCTCTGCAGTGCTGCTTTGTAGGTATCTCAACGGTGTTCCTATCTGTGCCAGCAACTAGGCAGAAGTGCAGTTAACCAGGCTGGGGTTTGGAACATCACTCCTACTTCAAACAGTGCCTCTCCACACATAAAAAGGAAGCTTTGTCAGGATGCTGGTCAGCATGTGGCATTTAGTCTTAAGACTCCTAGAGACCCCAGATAGTACTGCACTAGAGGGGAGCTGGCTTTGAGCAGGAGATGGTTAAAATGAAAATGTGAAGACACTTGCAGAGTGATGTGATAACAGTTTAATATCCTGAAGCAAAGGAGAGAGAAATCCTCTTTCTGGTGTATTGATCTGAAATCCTGCCAGTTGGCTCTCAGCAGAGAAAAATAAAACATCAAAGCTTTTAAATTCTATCCTAGAGAGGGGCCAGAATGAAAACTGTATGAACGGGCAGCACCTTGTGTTTCTGTCTTGGTCTCTGATCTTCTTCTCCATCTCCGCGTCCGTTAGGGTTTCGAGCAGAGGGCACCACTGGTCAGCATCACCTGTGTTGCGAATGGCGATCTCTACGGTTGGCAGAGGGTTCTCACTAAAGCACCAGGTCAAGACAAAAAACAGAATTCAGCCAAATCTGAATTGCAAAAGCCAAGACACACAGACCTTTCACTCCCCTGGGCACTCATTCTTACATCTGCTTGTACAGTCTGGTTCCTGCCCAGTAGACAGACAGGCTACACTTCCTGGAGCCTGGAATCGCCATGAATCTAACGACTTTGAAGCCATCGTCTCTTGTATGCACCAGTGAAAGGGGAGTCGTCAAAGCAAACGCTGAACAAGTCCTTTGTATTTTAGAAAGTTTTAGCCGTCAGGAGGTATATGACCAATATTAATAACAACATGAAGACTGCAGTTTAAAGACCCATGCAGGTTTTGAATACCAACCACAGTCTCAGTAGATTTCCCCCCTCTGAAGGCTCCCTATGTAACTGGCTAATGGACAGACGACACTCAGGCTGAATGAAAAGATCATACCAGTTTATGAAAGCTGAAAGCTTTGTCATATCCAAGGGGACATTCATGAACTGGGAGAGTACCCTGCCTGCTCAGAAATGTGGCTTCCTGAGGTTCCTGCCAGCATTTCTGAGGCCATGTCTACACTTATTGGGGATCAAGGCTGCTGTGATCGATGCAGTGGGGGTTGATTTAGTGGGTCTAGTGAAGATCCGCTGAATTAACCGCAGCGCGCTCTCCGGTCAACTCCAATAGTTCACCGGAACGAGAAGAGTAAGATAAGTCGACCAGAGAGCGTCTCCAGTTGACACAGCGCGGTGTAGACACCGCAGTAAGTCGACCTAAGCTACATCGACTCCAGCTACGTGAATAACGTAGCTGGAGTAGTGTAGACAAGGCCTCAGTCTGTGCAAACTGCACGTGGTACTGTAATTCTGAGTTGCCTACTACAGCTGCTCTTCCTTCGCAGCCTTTGGCAACTCCTGATGTTCATAAGGCCTGGTGACGACAATAAACTCTCCCAATCTTCCACTGAAGAGCAACACACTATTGCAATTGAATCTAGAGACCCTAGTCATGGATTGGGTTCCATTGCACTAGGTATTCTACAAATAGACAGAATAAGTGACAGTCCCTGACCCAAAGAGCTTAGTCTGCTAGTGCAAGTTAAAAACTGGTCTGCTACGAGCAGCTACACCATCACCTGCTCACAAAGTGGTCTTCACTTCACTATGTCTTTCAGAATTAACTGGTACGGCCCCTTGTGGTTATGTGAGTGGGTTCCTAAATATTGAGGAGCTGGAAATGCAGCATAAACACAGGCAAGTCTCAGTGTAAATATTTGGTTCAAATTTTGAAAAAGTGTGTGTGGGGCTATCCCAGGTGCACACGGCCATGTCTGACCCCTCCCACAGAGACACCCCTACACAGGCCAGCATCCGATCACTTACATGCAGCTAATCGCAGCGCTCTGATTCACAGGACATAATTCAACTGCTGATTGCCATGGAAATGGGTTGTCTGCAGCAAAGCTGTTGCTCTAGAATAGCAAACCTTTAGGGCCAGATTCTGCCTCTCACCTGCACAAGTCAACAGATTTCAATGGGGCTGCAGGACTGGGCCTAAGAGCATGATTTCAGCACAATCAAACTGGATCCCACATTTCCATGGATGGCAGGTGTCAGACAGAGAAGAAGGGAATCTGCACTCTTGTGACAACACCCCAACTTCTCAAGGGCACAATGCTGCTGCCAGGCAGGAGGAGTGGCAGAGGGGATACTCCCAGCGTAGGAGGTGCTGTGTAACGCACCATCAGCTGCATAATTGTTAGTGGAGTGAGGCGAAGTAACAAAACAAAGTTTTGACCTTCCCTATGCCCTGGTCCATCCCTCTGGTGACAGGCTGAGGTAACATGCACATGTGGCAGGCTCCATACAGCCAGCTGAGCAGGGTGACATTTTCTACTGGACACGAGGATGACCCCTAAGGCAAGGAGTGTTTGGTGTCTGGTAGAATCAGCTCCCTCCGTTAGATATTCAGATGGAAGCTCTTTAGGCCAGGGAGCTGGTTTGTAAGGGGCTGTGTATATGGTCACTATATACTGAATAAGTCATGGGGACAGGAGAACTTGATGGGTCCCATTTCAGCCTCCTCTTACTGCTCCTT